TATATATATAAAGATTTCATAACTCTACCAAATGATTTTTGCAAGCCATTTTGGAGAGTTAAAGATAAGTCAGGAAGAAAAAAGATCCTCCCAAATGATATTATAATTATCAATCTCCACTTGAGCCAATTTCTCATTTGTATAATATGACTAACTTGGCAATACTAAGTCTGCCACATCGTCCAAATGGGATTGAGGATGTGTCGATCCCATTTACACATGAGGATCGTATATAATATGTATATATACGATCACATTGTATATGAAACATGATTTTCATCACACGATGATGATGATGTGTCAATCACATGACGATGATGTGTCGATATAAAATGTGGATCATATGTCGATCACATGATGATGATGTGTCGATCACATGACGATGAAATATAGATCATATGACTTCCATCTATATATCATGATGCTCGTATCATTAAAAAATCTATTTTTTTAATTATAATTTTGATTTAATAATAAACCAAATGCTACTAGATACAAGGTCTACCAATACTTTTTTCAGCTAATCACATCAACACTCATAATGTGTGTCAACATGAACCCTAATTTGGTGGGAAGAGTTACTCCACAACTAATGAAACTAGCAAGAACAACATTTCTGTCTAAAGAAGCCCAAGAAGCTTCTTAGTGTCTTCTTCTTCCTTGTGTGATTAGGATGCACCTTCCTCTTCTTGGTCTCTACAACCCCCCTCATTGTGATCTCTTTCTTTTGCAAATCCACCATGTAATCCACCAAGCCTGCTATAAAAAAATATATGACAAAATTGTTAATTTCATGTTTGAAATATTATATATATATATATAAAGTGATTAAGCTAGATTTTCGTATAGTCGATGACATTATTGCTGGATCTTAATGTTTGTAGAAATATATATGTGCATACTATGATTAAAATTTGTGATTATAAGCATGTTACATAAACTTAGCAAATATGTATGTGCAAAATCCCCCAATTTATAAATATTTATCAATTCAAAACTGATCTAATGCTTATCTCTTTTAGAAAAGTGGGAAATTTGTTTGTTTCAATGTTATCAATATTTACTTGTATTTGTATTAGAATTGTATAAGGGAAAGGAAAAATGTTATGATACACAAATAATTTTGAATGTAAGATTATTTAACTCAATGGCTAAAATTAACTAAGGTAGACCGTACAATAGATTCTGAATATTTTTAATTTTGACATGGATTTAAATCGAATTATATTAACCTAAGCCTGTTTTTTTCTTTAAAATGTGGTACAGTAGTTTTTATTTCAATGTTATTAAAAGAAATAACCCAAATAATTTTGAATATAATTTAACTCAATAATTAAATTTAAGATAAATCGAGTGTATAATAGATCTAGAACCTTATAAATTTTGACATGGATTTAATTGAAATCATGTAGAATACCACATTTTCGATTCGCCCGAAATTCTGAACCCAATTAAATATTTTTTGTTTGTTTTAAGCAATTTTTATTTATTTTAAGTAATTTAACTAGGTAATATTATGATCAAGAAATTAGGAAAACTATACCTATTTAAATAGGCTATTATCTTCATAATTCACAGGATAATAACTCTTACTGTTCATTTTGGAGACCACCTTGGAGACCCTCTGCCTGCAGTGACTGCATCCCATATTGGCACTCATCACAATCACTTGCTCCTAACAAATCACAAAGTTGCAGAAAAACCATAAAGTTAATTATGATTGTATGATTGATTTCTTGTGTCATTTCACTCTTAAGACTAAAACAAACTCAATCATAGATGTGCAGTATTTTTTTTTTCAATTAAATGAATCATTTTAAAAATAATCATTTTATTGTCACACTCAAAATGATACAAACAAATTCATATGGATTTTTCTTTTTCATAGCATATAATCCCAAAAATTATATGATGGATATCGATTGCGGATCAATCAATATCCGATTTGATTATCGACAGGATTGCTGGATCAAGTGGTTATTTAAGGACATTGGATAATGAACATTAAGTTGCATCTGAATTGGATTTCCAATGAGACATGGTAAGATCCAATTTATTGTTGAATTTTTTGAGCTTAGGGTTAGGTTTGAAATCCATAGCTAGCTATAATTTGACACTGTTCATGTTTTAACTCTTAACATTACAAGTTATCTGTGACTCCCATCTTAATGATTCTGGTGTTATGGTCAGATAAGATATGATCCAGTTGAGTGTTGTAAAAGTTTGTCTCATCTGACACATCCTCTTAATTAACAGCAGTGCAGATCTCTAATGTTGACAGATAGGCTGATAAAACTGTGCCACAAGCAGTATTTGAAGAAAGCAATCCTAAAAGTCACACAAGTCACATGAAGCCTGCCACTAGAAACTGGTGATGGAGAATTGGCTGATACATCTGAACCTTGCAGCAACAAGCATGAGGTGAGAGGATCAAGATTTGTTCTTTCTCTAATGCTGCTTGTGCTGAGACAATGCATGCATCATCATCTTCTATTTTGATATAAAATTTTGGAGCATCTTCATACAAAAGATGTTCAAACTTTTTTTGTCAACAAAGTCTAGTCAACCATGGGAATGGAGATTAAAGTTGCCACCAAGAACAACAAAGAAAAATTAAATCTCCAAATTGGACACTACATCTTTCTCACAGTCTCTTTCAGGAAAAGCAGTCATGAAAGAAAGCCATTTGGTCCAAAATCTTTCCAGCTAAAAAGAGATGACAACATGACACCACCAAAATGATCATATACAACACACTGCAAGGCTAAGAAGCAAGGAAATCAATCTCTAGATCTGTAGCATCCTACAAGAAAGACTCTAATAATCTGTATTGATAGGCTACATGATATGTCTATGATTACTGCATGGCCAGAGACAAAATAAAAAAGAATCAATCTCTAAATCCCTAAGATTTAAACCTTCTCCTCTGTGTATTAGCATGTCTGTGATTACTTCATGTTAGGTCTAATCATCAGATTTATATAAGGCATAACTTCTAATAGCTTCTAATGATTCAGAGAACAGAAGAACAAAGAGAGGAAAGAGAAAAGGACCACTTGAGATAATCTAACTAGAACAGAAGCATGACCTAGGAAAGAGGGAGAGATGATACCTAGGAAAGGCTTAGGTTCTACAGGCCAACCTTCTCCTAAAAGAAGGCACTAATAATCTGTATTGATAGTCTACATGACATGTCTATAGTTTCTGCTTATAATTCGGAAAAGACTTAGGTGATGAACTTGGCATGAAAAAGAAGGAAGAACACAAAGAGGAAAGAGAAAAGGATCACTTGGGAAGACCTAACAAGAACAGAAGGAGAGCTGATGCCCGGGGAAGGCTTAGGTTTTCTGCAGATCAAACCTTCACCTACAAAAAGCCCTACTGTAATCTGTTTGTCGATAGGCTACATGATGTGTCTATGATTGCTGCTTTATCAGACACAAAAGACTCAAATGATGAACTTGACATGAAACAAACAGAAGGAACAACAAAGAGAGGAAAGACAAAATGATCACTTAAGAAGATCCAGTAAGAACGGAATCAGAAGAGCTGATACCTGAGGAAGGCTTAGGTTTTCTGCAGACCCCAAGGAGTGTGTGGTTATTGCTCCCTCCATGGAGCTTCTCTCATCCCCACATCTTCCTCAGCTTCTCCCATGTGTTGTTCCTCCTCATCGACCTCCTTTTTCTTCCTCTCTGCGCTCAGATTCTAATTGCAGAAGCTCGAAACAAGCAGTCTCCCTCAGTTGACCTGGCAATTGTGGTGAAGATAAGTAAAAAGGTTGATCAATCATGAGACATGAATCATATCATGGAGGCAGCACGAATCCAGAAGTGGTTCATCTTGATCAACCGCCGTTCTTTTGCCCTATGCATGCATGCCATGTCCATGACTTGTACATCACAGTGCATGGCACTTCCCACGTTTAACTCATCTTCATCGCTCATAGCCAACACAGTGATCTGTGTAAGAGTTCTCCTGTGATAGGTTTGATGGATTCCTCTCACCTTTAATTAAAATGATTGTTATTTATCGAAAGTAATAATTTATAAAGGACAAATCCAGTCCACAGGTGATGGGATTAAGTCCTCCAAGGAATAAAGACTTGATATGTGTCCACACAAAATGGATTGAATGGATATGCCATGTTAATAATAATTAAAATAAAAAATATTCTTGATTTGAAGAATATTTTTTAGCAACTAAGGATCTTAACCTATAAATAAAAATCACTCTTATGATTACAAATATTCGAATGGACACTTTCATTTTTTTGTTATCGATAGTTGTATTCTTCAGTTTTGAGACATACCTTTCAAATTTAAAGGTGACAATTGACTTTTGAGACTATCATTAATATAGATAGTCCTACCTCTGCATAGATCATTGTTGTCATAGAATTTATAATAATTTTCTAACCATCAATTGATCAGATCAAACAGTGTAAGGAAGCTTGATGGAAACATCATTCGATTAATTATTGGTAAAGAAATTGAAGTGAAAGATGAAAGCCATTGACTATTTTTGTATTCTACATAAAGCTTGGTGGCAATGCATGAGACCCCACCTACCATCTCTATGTCTACACGCCACTCACCAAAGCAATTGCTCCCCACCTTTCACATGACCAACCCTAAGAGGAGATGATGAATTCATGTGCTCATAACACATCATGGAAGTTGTTAGCGTAAACAATCTTAAGTCGTGGCCTCGGGCCGACACGACTGGGTTCGGGTCCGAATGATTGGGGATCTTCCTGGGACGACCCTTGAGACTGCTGAGATGGCCGACTGCGGTGGTCTGATCGAGACAGGACAGTCGTTTCCTCTGGGAGGAAACTCCTTGCCTGGGCACGCGGTGGGAGGCGCCCCGTCTTCGTCCCTGCTCACAGGTCAGGTCGGGAGGCTCAACTCGACCCCTCCGACGATCAAGTCAGTGGATAATCTTAAAGGGTTTTTGCCTTCTTCTCTCTCTTCTCGAGCCGAACGTGAGGGTTTTTATAGGGAAGGTTACCATTGCCTGATGTGCCCGCTTGTAGGGAGCAGGATCGTACTCCTGGTAACGTCTGACACTGGCGTTGGCGTGGCGTGAAGGACTGGGCTCGCGCAGAATGTTAATGTGCCTCGGCCGGCGTTCCGATCTATTTTGGCCAGGCGTTGTCAGGTCAAGCGAGGCGTCATCCGGGCACAGTTGACGTTAACCCGCGTTCCATCGCCATTATCACTATC